TTCAAGTCCACTAAATATGTGTGGTCCAAAATAAAGCTATGATATTTTTTTACTGCATTGCTTAAAGTTAAGAGCTTTTGTATAGAAAGCGCTTAAGAGCAAAGTAAACTGGAGTATATGCTTTACATGTTGGTGAAAGACATGGGCTGAACAACTGATGAGTAATAGCAGTTGTCCTATTTATTTTATAAGCCTGATTGTTTTTTATTTTTAAGCTTTTATTTATATTATTTATTTGAAAGGTAGAGAGACAGGAAGAAAGATTTCCTTCCTGGTTCATCTCTCAAAGGCTTGCAGTCACTGGCGCTGGGCCAGGTGGAAACCAAGAGCCAGGAACTCCATCTGGGTCTTCCCCATGGATGTCCAGGGTCCAAATCCTGAGCCATCACCTGCTGCCTGCCTGGGTGCACATTAAACGGAAGCTGAAATCAGAAACCAGAACCAGGACTCAAACCCAGGCTCTCTGCTATCACGCCGGGCCCCTGTCTTGTTTCTTTCTTCTTCTTCTTCTTTTTTTTAATGTTTATAGCAGTGTGAAAGTATATAAACAAGATATTTATGCTTGTATTAAAAGAAGTTATCCCAACGAGAGCAAATAGTGTCCTAAAAAAAAAATGAGGAGAGCCTGGTGAGGTGGCCTAGTGGCTGAAGTCCTCACCTTGCATGTACTGGGATCCCTTATGGGCTCCCCAAATGGCCACAACAGCCAGAGCTGGGCTGATGCAGTCAGGAGCCAGGAAGCTTCTTCCAGGTCTCCCAGGTGGGTGCAGGGGCCCAAGAATTCAGGCCGTCCTCTGCTGCTTTCCCAGGCCACAAGCAGGGAGCTGGATGGGAAGTAGAGCAGGCAGGACTCGACCAGCATCCACATGGGATGCTGGCTGGTCCCACAGGGAAAGATCTGTCCACTATGCCGCCATGTACAGTTCTTTGGAGTGATATTGTAGGGAAATTTTATTTTATCTTGTGCATCTTTTTCAAGCCCAGTCACCTTTGTTTTGTTAGTAACATCTTCTAAATGAGTGGCTAATTTAGTAACAAAGATAGTGCCACACAGATTTTATTCTTAAAACTGTGTCACTTTTGCTTGCCTGATACGGCATAAACAGGATTCAAAGTTTCTTAGCCCCAGCACTGCTCATGTTTGGGCTTGGAGGATGCTCTGTCTGAGCATGTTGAACAACATCTCTACGCTCTCCCCACAGAATCCTGCTACTGATCCCCTGTCCCAAAGCCAAAGCTGTCTGCATGCAGGGTGTCCCCTACAGAGTCCTTTAGTACCCTGTTGCTGGAGGGGGTGAGCCTGCTGCCCACCATCCAGCCTCCCGGTGCGCAAGAGACAAACAGAAGGACAGGGTTTATTTGAGAAATTCAGTTTCTTACATAGAGTAACAAATAGGCTCAGGCCAGGAATCCCGGTAATTCCAGGAGAAGAGAACTAGTAGCCAATTACTAGGAACACAACTATGTAAGCCGCCTCCCATAGGCCAAGGGCAGCTGAGCGAAATGGCCCTGGCCAGTCCATCTTTCTTTGAAAGGAATTGACCCCTGCGCTGGTTCACGCCCAGGGCTCTGTCCTTGGCTGCCATCTTGTTCACCACATGTAACCAACCCAGTGACCTTGACTGTTAGTTGCCATCTTGTTGACTTAGTGACCTCTTTGCCCCTGAGGCCCACATCTGCACATGGTCCCAGGTATCCTTGGGGGAACCAACCAACTGCAGTTGAGAACCACTGCTTTGGTGTATTTGCTACAAATTCTTAACCATGTTCTTCCTGAGCATAATTGGGGTAAAGTCATGGACCCTTTGTTAGGGAGACAGGAAGTCAGCATTATAGAAAAGCTGCTAGACAGTGATTTGGCATAGTGCAACATCAATGAAAATGTCAGGCTACCTACCTGAATCAAGGACTGGGTGGTGGAGGGAACTCCTGTGGATGAGAATACTAGGAGCATCACACAGGCAGTAAAACTGGCTGACAGCTATTGTTGTAATTTATGTTCCACTCCATCTTTAATCATTATTTTGCTTGGTTTAATTTTTTTTAATTCTTTTTAATATTGTTTACATATTGGGCCTCTGAGTAGGGCGGGGAGGGTTAGGTATGGAAGAAAGTGGGTGGAGCAAGTATTTCAGGCTTTTTTTTGTTTCTCCTGCGTCCTCTGGAGAGGAGGGGAATAGGATAGCTCCTTAAAGTCAAACTACATCAGCACCCAGGGAAGGGGGACAGTATCTGATAACACCCCGAGACCCTGATATGAGGACGAGTGTCCTGACACTGTTACTTGAATGGTTTTGATAGTTTTGAGACATTGTCGGTTTCATTGCTCCAAGGGTTGAGAAAATCTTTCCAGGGCTTACTGGTTGACAAAGTCCACCTTAGCGCATCCGCAGACCTAGGAACATGCTGTAAAGCTTGGCCAGAAGTGTGCAACCTGTTCTGCTTTCCATCCTCTGATGATGCAGTCAGGGTCTCCTGCTGATCTGAATGAGCTGGCTGTCATGTCCCTGTGTGCGTGTGAGTGTGTTGTGAATTACACAGGCATCAACAATTGAGAAGGCCCGGTCTGGTATCTGCACTCCAAAGTCGGACCACATATCCTTTGATTTTCCAGGGTTTAGTCATTATTTTGAAATCTAAGGCCAGGAAAAGTATAATAAAGCTACGGTACAAAAGGACACATGAAGGCCTTTTTATTTTTTGTTACCCTCCAATCCTGGCAGTTTTCTGTGGCATCCTCAAATAAAAGCATGTCTCATTTTGCTTTATCTCTTTGTCTACAGTAGATGATGCCATAGTCTTGCTGGGGACATCTGACCTACTTTCCAAAATCTCTGGCACCTGGCATCATGACAGGTCCTCGTGGGCAAGCCAGTGCCAGGATACTCTTCACCTGACACATATGCAGGGGTGGCACGTGAACATGACTCCTTGAGAGAGACAGAGAAAAAGCAAGATATTTCAATAGCATCACGAAACCATGATCACGCCTAAAAGTGAAAGTCGCTTCATGCCCTCAGATAATCCCATCATTCGCCATGGTTTCACTTCTTTTTTTGTTCTTACAATTCCTCATTTGGATCAAGGATCAAAAAAGATGTGCTCTAACTATTTGACATGTTTCTTCATAGTCTTAATATCGATGTGTTTCTTAAATAAATAAATCCTCGAGTTTCCCGCCTCTGACTTTCCACCTTGTAATCTGTTTGTTGAAGATGCTGGGCTGCTTGCCTTGGCGGTGTTTGTCCCACAGCCTGCAGTCCAGTGCCCACCCCAAGGGTCACTTATGAGATGTCACGTTGGTTCCTGTGCTTTCCATGTTTCCTGTAGCTTGGGAGCCACAGCTAGCGCCTTGATCAGATTCAGATGGTTCCGATTCAGTTTTCTCTTTTGGCAAGTGCTGAAAGAAGGTGGTAGCCAATGGTGACATTGTTGGCATCTTGCTCTGTGACTCACAGATGAGGTAGCTAGCATTCCTAGAGTTATTTGCCATGTGTCCAGCGTCTGTTCTGAAGGCATGTAAATGCTACATTTAACTTTATTTAATCCTCACAATATTGGTACATCTCAATTTCTAAACTGTGATTAAATATCTCTCATCAGGACAGAAGTAATTTTAAATGTTTTTCAAACAAACCCCTTAGTATATACCACACTGTCGTTTACCTGATTGAATTTGGAGTTGTGTCTTTCTTTTTAGTGATTTCATTTTCCCATATAAAAATATTTTATATCGAGAGCACTTTTTAATTAAACAGTGACATTTAAAAATTTTAATTAAAATTTAAATTTTAAAAATTTTGATCATAAAACTCAGAAACCTGTCATTTAACTGAATTCATTGTACTTGAGTTTTTTGATTTGGGGGTTTACCACCCATCTGTTTACCTCACAGCGACAGATACCTAAACCGCAGAAAGGGCCAACAGAATTTGGTACTTCCTGGGTCTCATTGTCTTCTGCAGGTGCATGCGTGTCTCTTTCATCTCTCCCTGCCTTCTCTGCACACTCTCACTGCTCACAGTATCCTACTGTTTCCCTGTGTGAGAAACTGGCCCGTGACCATAAAAGCAAATCTAGCTTTCCCTCGTCTGTTTACGTATCCTTAATTTATTCAACTTTCAGCTTTCTCCCTAGTTCTGAGTTCCATCTTCACAAAATTATAATTAAACTCCAGGACTCTTGCCTCTCACCTACCCCCTCCCCCTCCAAAAAAAAAGTATGTTGATCAACTTCACTTTTAAAGATTAAACTGATGTGTGGACCCAGGTTGCAGGAAGATAGTGGAACAGCAGAAGCAAAACAATGCAGAAAGGCTCCTATTGTGTGGTCTGCCCAGTTGACATGCAAGGAGGTCTTTAGTCCAGATGCATCTTAACCCTTGCTCTGCAGCCAATTCTCCTTTAATACGTGCAGTGTTCTTTTCAGATTGATCTATCTGTCAGGTGGAACATTTGGTTGGTTGAGTGGGAGGAACATGCAACCCTAATGAATGCGGCATGACTGCAGAGTTGAATGTCTTGTTCGGAGACATCAGAAATAACCAGATTCTTGGTTCTTATTTCTTTAAAACAAAAGTATTCTGTTTTTATGTGGTTATTCATAAAGACCTCTAAGATTCTTATTCAAAACCATTTATAAGCACTTAGTAAACAAGATTGTATCTCTGTTGACCTGATCTTATTCGGAGCCCTGGGCGGCCTGGCTGCACGTGCGCGTGCTACTTAAGTAGCTTGTGGTGATGCTGCTTTGGGGAAGCTTACACATCTTAAAGGATATTTTGTTCCCCCTTCCCTTGGCAGGGCCAAGGAGTTTCCTTTTCTAAGACCAGGACTGTTTGGCTTGCGTGAAAGTGCACTTTGTTCTAGAATTGCTGTATGAAAACCTAGAATATAGAGCTGGGTGATTCCAAGAAAGGCCTGGGGGTGACAGAAGATCATGTTCTAGGATCGCGAATGCTGACCTGGTGCTGAGTGACCTGCTGTTGTGCTCTCTCTCAGGCTCGCCTCTCTTATGTGCGGATGAAATATCTTTTCTTCTCCTGGCTGGCGGTTTTTGTTGGCAGCTGGATTCTCTATGTGCAGTATTCCGCCTACACAGAACTGTGCAGAGGAAAGGACTGTAAGAAAATCATAGTAAGTAGTTTTAATTTCCTAGTTCATTGAAAAGCTTAACAGCACACTGTCCTTACTACTTATGTCCTTGCCAAGAGTTGTCTTCAAAAATAAAATTTAACTTGACCTTGAGGCTGTCATGAACATCTTAGCTTTATGATATGACAAGGCAGGACTGTTTGCCACTTGGAAAAGTCCAGTATTCAGAAACCCAAACATTAGCATAAGTAAGTTAGTGTGCGGCTGTCCCCCTTACAAAGAGGGATTTTTGTTCTTTGAGCATTCATATGTTTGAAGTTTAGTTTATTCTAATAAGGTGGGTTTTTCAGTGCTTATGCCATGAAAGTGTAATTTATGGGCAGTCTTTCTGGACCACATCTTTTGCATGGCCTTCTCAGGTACCAAAATTGACTAAAAGGCATTTATCTCTTATTTAACTTCTAGCCTAATGAATAGATACATCTTAGGAAAATCACTCTTAGGTTTCTAGTAGTCACTGTTAGCTCTGTAGCAGGTATATTTTAACTGAAGATTTGGGGCAGCCATTGTGGCATAGCAGATACAGCTGCCACTTACAATGTCAACAATCTATGTGGGGGGCCAGTTCAAATCTCAGCTGCTCCACCTCCAGTCCAGCTCCTTGTTTATGGCCTGGAAAAAGTAGTGGAGGATGGCTTAAGTGTTTGGTCCCTTGCTACCCATGTGGAAGCCCTGGAAAAGGTGTCTTGTTCCTGGCTTCAGCCTGGCCCAGTCCTGGCCACTGTGGCCATCGGGGGAATGAATCAGCAAACAGAAGATCTCTGTCTTCCACTTGCTGGTGTCCCAGTTTGTATCAGCTGCTCCACTTCCAAGCCAGCTCCCTGCTTATGGCTTGGGAGGGCAGCGGAGGATGGCCCAAATCCTTGGGACCCTGAGCCCGTGTGGGAGACCCTGTACCCATGTAAGAGACCCAGAGGATGCTCCTGACTCCTAGATCATGGCTTTGGAACAGCCCAGCTCTGGCTGTTGGCAGCCATTTGGGGAGTGAACCAGCAGATGGAAGAACTTTCTCTCTCCTTTTTTGTGTAAATCTGCCTTTCAAAAAACATTTTTTTTTGTTAAGTCACAAATCAGGGTTCAAACCTATCAATCCTATATCCATTCCATTGCCCACGCTAGACCCTAAAGACATTTTAAGATAGTACGGACCACAGAGGCCAGTCAGTGTGCTGGGTACTTCATATGTTCGTTATCACTCAAAATAATATTCTGAATCCCTCCCCTCCATCCAACTTCACCCAGAGGGAGAGAAAAAGTTGCCCAAGTTGATGGAACCAGTATTTGCCCTTCTACATAAACTTTATGCTTGCATGTGGCCCTGTTCTGAAGAAGTGACAGTTAAATGCAACCGTGGAGGAGGAGACAGGAGTTACGTAATTGAGCAGAATAATGCACCAAAAAAAAAAAAAAAACCTCCACAAAACTATCCGAAATGTTTACTTTCCTTCCTTGGGGTTACCATTCTGTGCTGCCTCTGGCTCACATGAATGGGTCTTCTGTGGATAAGCTGTCCCCCTGGGGAGGTGCTTCTGGAAACAAAAGTTTAAACACAGATAAAGAGCTGACTCTGCTGAAGACTTCTGGGCTCTCTAATTTACCAATTACACGTTTCTGAGCAACCTCCGAAAGGGAGCAAGTCCACGTAATCTCAAGACAATACATCCTATCACCACTGTCGCAAGGCGTCTGTCAGTGTCAGGGACATCAGACCAAGAGGTAGAGCCCAAATGAAATGGAGACACTTGTAGATATCTGGAGTGGATACTGTGTCCTTCAAAATGTAACAGCATATTCTGTTATGGAAAATTGCATTTCAGGTGCCTCGTTTTTTTTTCACTTTAGTTTTTCTTTCTATGGAATGGAAACATGCTTCATTCTAGCATACTGTAATATTTTCTTTCTGGAACTTAAAGATAATAAAAAAGCTTTTTGAATTTAAAATCTATAGCTTTTATTCTTTCTAAGACTTTTTAAAAAGATTATTATGGTTACTGTGCATTTCAGATTCTGTTCTTGAAGCCTACTCTGGGGGGGCCGGCATTTGGACTCAGGATGACGATGCTGGTTAGGACCCCATGTCCCACCTCCAGGCTCCTGGGTTCTGGCTGGCCACCCCCTGGCTCCAGCAGATCCCCAGCAGTATAGACACAACAGTTGGGTTCCCACCACCCACATGGGTGACCCAGGCTAAGATCCTTTGGGTGCTGATCTTGGCCACCTGGCTGTTAACAAGCATTGGGAACAGTGGGAAAAGGCATTGGAGAAGTAAGCCACTTTTTTTCTCTGCCTTTTAAAATATAAATACACACACACACACACATTTTATTTTCATTTTAAAGGCAGAGTTACAGAGAGAAGAGACAGAGAGGTCTTACATCTGTTGGTTCATTCCCCAGATAGCTGCAATGGCCAGAGCTGAGCTGATCTGAAATCTGGAACCAGGAGCTTCCTCCAGATCTCCCACGTGGGTGCTAGGACCCAGGTCACAAACAGGGAGTTGGATCATAAGAGGAACAGTTAGGACATGAACCAGCACCCATATGGGATGCCAGTGCCACAGGCAGAGACTTAGCACACTATGCCATGGTGCTAGCCCCAAAATTTAAAAATTGTTATAATAAAAGAACTACCATAGGGGCCAGTACATTGGCTCAACTGGCTAGTCCTCTGCCTGCAGGCACTAACATGTCATATGGATATCAGTTGGTTCCCAGTTGCTCCATTTCCCTGTCTATAGCCTGTGAAAGTAATGAAGGACAGCCCAAAGCCTTGGGACCCTGTGCCCATGTGAAAGATCTGGAAGATCTGGCTTCATATCGGCTTAGCTCCAGCCATTGCAGCCATATGGGAAGTGGACCAGTGGGTGGAAGATCTTCCTCTCTGTGCCTCTCCTTTTCTCTGTAAATCTGACTTTCCAATAAAAATAAACAAATCTGAAAAAAAAAAAAAAGAACTACCATAGCTGTTAATAGTAAAGTCAACAGCACTGGGCTAAGTTAGTACTAATATTACATAGGATTTGTGGGGTTTATATTAAAGGCTGGGATTGTGGCACAGCAAGTTAAGTTGCCAACTGGAATGTCGGCATCCATTATCTGAGTCCAGCTGCTGTGCTTCTGATCCAGCTCCCTGCTAACGCACGAGGGAAGGCAGAAGATGGCCTGAGTGCTTGGACCCCTGCACTCACCTGGGAGACTGAAATAGAGTTCTAGGCTCTTGACTTTGGCCTGACTAGTTCTGGCTGTTGCAGACAATTAGGAAGTAAATCAGAAAAGAAGACCAATCTCTCTCTCTTTCTGTCTGTCTCTCTCTGCTTCTCTTTCTTTCACTCCCTCTCAGTCTCAACCCCTCCTCCTGCCTCTTCCTTTCAAATAAATAGATAAATAACTCCTTGGGGTTTTTTTTTTTTGTATATTTTAAAGATTCCAAGAAGCAACATGATACCACAGAGTTACTTGATTGCGAACTGGGCAGGGTAGGCTTTGAGAGAGGTGAGCCTGGTATCTGTGCCTTTTCCAGAGACATTTATCCTGACAGACACTATCTTGTGGGGCTGGGAAATAAGACACTGATGGAGGTTCAACCAAGGCTGGGAAGCTTGGTGTCCTGTGCTCAGGGCTAAGACTCCAAAGGGTCACTTGACTTTTCTGGTCTCTTTTTCTCTGAGAGAAGTTTCTGTTACCCTAGGGGAAGTTGCTGGTTTTGGGGCTTGAGAAACAAAACTTTGTATAAGGTGGTCAAGAAGCCAGCATGTTTTCTGAAGAACCAGGAGCCTTCCAGTACACACCGGCATGTAACCATGCTCACATTCAAAGTAGTCAGAAGGTAGAAACAACACAGTTGTTCTTCACCAGATGAATGAGTAAACAAACATATATAAACATATTTTAGAATATTGACTAGCCCTTTCTTTTTCTTTAAAGATATGTTTATTCTTATTTAAAAGAAATTACAGAGGAGAAACAGAGAGAAAAAGGTCTTCCATTCACTGATTCACTTCACAAGTGACACCAATGGCCAGAGCTGAGCTGATCTGATACCAGGAGCCAGGCACTTCTTCTGGGTCGCCTACATAGACACAGGGTCCCAAGGTCTTGGGCCATCCTCTATTGCTTCCCTAGACCATTAACAGAGAGCCAGATCAGAAGTGGAGCAGCTGGGATATGAACTAGTGCCCTATGGGATGCTGGTACTTGACAGTGAAAGATTAGCCTAACCTTTATAAAGAATGAAATTCTTTTTTATTTAAAAGATTTATTTTATTTATTTGAAAAGTAAAATAAGAGTGAGATAGTGAGAGACAAGAAAAGAGAGATCTCCATTCATCCATTTGCTTCACTCCCAAAATGGCCTCAGTTGCCAGAGCTGAACCATATTAAAGCCAGGAGCCAGGAGCTTCCTCTGGGTCGCTCATGTGAGTGCAAGGCCCAAAGAGTTGGATTATCCTTTGCTGTTTTTCCAGGCAATCAGCAGGGAGTTAGATTAGATGTGGAGTTGCTAAAATTCAAACTGGCACCCCTACAGAATCCTACATTAAAGGCAGCAGCTTTGCCCATTCTGCCATAACGCTGGCCCTAAGAATGAAATTCTAACTTGTGCAATAACATGGATGGACTTTGAAATCAGTATGCTAGATGAAATAAACCAGACACAGAGGAATAACTATTGTGTGATTTCACTTAGGTGAGGCACCTGGAACAATAATTACATACAAAGATCAAGTGAAAGTGTTTAATATATTATTAATTAATGTATTAATGTATTAATGGAATATTGAGCATGGTAAAAAATCAATCTTTTTAGGCTATTCAAGGAATTATTTCTAGGGTAACTTCTAAAACAGAAAGAGTGCATCATTGTCAAACTAATAAAGGAACACTTGGGATGATAATAAAATTAAACACTCAACTGGGTGATTTGAAACATGCCAGCAAGGGTAAGCAAGAGTACCTTCTCGTTGAGTTTCAAGTCATTTCTCCGTT